TGAATCCGTACCTCAAAGGATAGATCAAGTTAGGGATAAACGATATATCATAAATTTGTGTAGGACTATTTCATAGGAAAAAAAACCCACCAGTTTTGGGCGACTCTGGTAGTTTGAATCAATTTATGCGCCTTTAAACTGTTTTTGTAAATAGATGATGAAGTACCAAATGAATAATTTGTCATAAATATATTGTCCCTTAACTGTAAAGCATAAAATAATGATAAAACATTTATGAGCTGGTTGAATGATTCATTTTGTCATAGCTTGGCCTTTTTGGAAACATGGATGTAACATTTTGCAGAAATATTCCATCAATTTTTTTCGAAAATATGAACATTTTTGAAAAAAAAATTGAGAGTTATACGTCATTTTGGCCCTATTCTAATTCAGGCCCAGAGACTTATGTATATCGATAAGGAGTTACATGAGATGGGGAAGCCCAGCTACTAGGCAGTATTTTTAAACGCTTGAATAGTCTCAATAGAATGTTAGGGTTGGTAAAGAAGAACAGGGGTGGGCATTTGGGCCTACCTTCTTCGTTCCTGACTGATGATCGGTAGAATCTAAATCAAACGTCAACTTACATGTAAGTCTTGTTTCCAATTCTGCTTCACACGCCAGGAACTCAGGAGTAACATGAAACTTTAAAACTTGAGGTCATGAAAGCCCAGAAAAAGAAACAATATTAATAAGCAGATTCAATAAAATCAGTCCTGTTTTTGTAATGCTACTTTGATGAATCCAGCTATTGAATAGAAGTCACAGTTATGCCAATGACTTGACTATTTAGATTTATTTAAATATGCTAATATTAAACCTAATAATTTATATCGGAACGATGAGTATACCTAGTAATATATAATAATGTATAATATAAAGAAATACAATATATATTATTGGAAGTAGGTTATTGTGATGGTGCATGTGTTTCAATGCAAAGAGTGAGAGGCAAGTCATCAGCATGACGCAATCAGCAACGATTGGTTGTAGATGTACTAGAATCACTAACATTTGTGAGACCCTATACTTTTATCAAAGCGGTCAGTGCAGTTTGGTGTCATTTCACATTATGGCGCTAATGCATCTAGTAGTGTGGTATATGGCACTCCTGAAAGGTATGTGAATAGGGATGAAATAACTGAATAAATAGTTAACGGTTATATAAACCGCGTTTTAAAAATGGGAATGCGTTAATTTATATTTTGGAATTAGTTTACATCGAACAAATTAACATTTTTGTTAGCCAGTAAGATACAATTTTATTTCAGTGGCTCACGGAGTAATAATCACCGGCGAAAGTTTGAAAAACATAACTGTTGAATATGGGGACGTATTAACTCTGTGGTGTAACTATAGCTTCAGCGGCGGGGAAACGGGGTCGACCAGTATTCAAGAGGTCTTGGCCTTAAATGGATCGGAAGTATTCACGTATTTTAGATATGGAGCAAATGTTGTAGATGGTGGAACGTTCAAGAATCACTTTGCATCGAAAACAAACATCACATCGTCAATATCTTCCGAAATAAATCCAAAATATATCAGAATAGTGATACAGCAGGCTCAGTGGGAAGACAGTGGTAACTACACTTGGCGCATCACTGTGGATGGTGTGCCTGGGACTGCAGCAAATGATGTCATGCACGTCTTAGTTGGAGGTAATTCATTATTTTTGCTATTTTATTAGTACCACCAGCGTGTACGCTGGCGGTGCTCATGGTTTTATTCCCGACCCGTCTCGTACGGCTCCGTTGGCTCCGCAGGGTGTCGTGGGATACAAGTCACCGTAACCGCTTCTCCTCCAGACCACAAGGACCTGTGTCCCCATCCCCTGGATTTAGGTCACATGTAGTCTCTACTTGCACCCCCTGGTATTTTGTCTCAGTCGGTGCATTGGCCTGGGCGTGACGCTAGTTGAAACGCACCCTTGTCAACATTTTTTTGAAAATTCAATGCTAAATATCTCCCAAACCGAAGGAATTACGGGAAAAAATTACTACTTTCGACCTTTATTTCAAGGTCAAACGGGCCAAAATTTTCCAAAAATGGGAATTTTCTGCAAAAAATATTTGTTTGTACCAATTTTCAGAACCTACCTTAGCTCTCATATTATAGTGAGGGGTTACAATCAGGGACTCCTTTCATCTTTGGGAGTTTGGGGTCAATCGGTGCATTTTCGTAGGAGAAACAGCCATTTGATACCGAAACTGAAAGCTCTCTCTAATTCTGGAACCGTAAATGCTAGAGACCTTTTGTTTTATGCATTTTGTTGAACTTGTCAAGCGCAATACTGGCAGTGGTGTCCATTTTTTTGTTTTCAATTCGGCTTAAGCGTTGTGCTATATAAAAAAGAACAAAGTCACAATGTTCAGTGGTGAAATTGAAATGTGAATTACTCCAAAATTAGCAGGGATACCCCCATAGTTACTATTGAACTTGAATAGGAAGTCACATACTGGCAATTTAACTGTGACCCTGAAATTGACCTTTGACCTAATTTTTACCATTAACTAAACTTTACAAATTGTCTATACCTTATATCTCCAAAATTGGCAAAGAAATGCCCATGGTTACTATTGAACTTGAAAAAGAAGTTGTAAATTGTGACCTTGAAATTGACCTTTGACCTACTTTTCACCATAAACTGAACTTTGCATACTTTCTTGCCCCTCTTATCTTCAAAACTAGCAGAGATATACCCAGTGTTTCCTTTAGGTTTTCTCTTTTGTCAGCATATAAGCAACACTGATAAACATGACAAGGAAAACCACTAGGCCTGTTGTCTAGAAAATCACAGGAGTGATCAATATGTTAGGAAAATACGGGTCAATTCGAAAATCTGCTTGATTGAACCATTTTTTAGTTATGTTTTTTACATTATTTTGCATATTTTGGGAACTCTTGTTGATTGCATTTTATAGAGCTTGTCAAGCACAAGACTGGTGATGGTGCCCTTTTTTTGTTTTTCCATGCGCTTACTCCGCCTGGTGGTACAATATCCGGAGGCAGTGTCGCCTCTCTGATCCTCTAGTTTGTAGTGATATATAACCTGGTCAGCCTTTTCATATTCTTTAAATCATGTGCATTAAAATTAGCAAAAAGTAAACGTAAACGCTTGGGGTGTTATTGTTAGAAATGTTATTCAGAAAATATGCATCTTTAGGAAGCTTAAATCGGGAAATCGGAAAACTGATATGCAACACTAAGTTACCAAGTAATGAGGTGTCGTGTACATTATTAGTATGTGACTACCTGTATGTCATCAGTTATGCAGTACTTTTATACTAGTTATTTTTTGTTTACTGACTTGATAAGGCCGAAGTTCATTATAAACATCAAAATGGTTATTATATTTTAATGCTTTATTTAAATTATATAAAATACATCAAAAAGTTAAGTTTATTATCCATTTATGCTATTCAGAGAAACCGCCAACCCCGACACTAAGTTACACCAAGATAAGCTCGATAACATATAGCATAATGTGTATCACGTCAAATGGAATACCCTTGCCGTCTGTGACCATATATGACTCCACTGGTGTCGCATTAACATCACCGGGACCATCTGCATCATTAACAGTCAATGTAACCACCCCAACAGAGTTCTATTGCACTGGTGCAAATGACCTGGGATCACAAAACAGCAGCTTTATTTTCTTACCTGAGCCCACAACAACAACAACAATGACAACAGAAACAGGTACTGTGTTGATTTGACATCTTTTTACGATACAGGCAATCATTAACTATTGAAAACTTAGTAATTTCCTTTCAGAACTTTTGTCACCCGATTTACTATTAATACCAATTACCAATTGTGAAATCACAATATGTGTGTATGTGTGTGTGTGTGTGTGTGTGTGTGTGTTGCCATAATGATTGAATTCCTCTCTTTCACAAGCCGTTTTGTACATATGTATAGGATAATTTTAACTCTGTCCTTCTTACATTGTTTTAGCAACTACACACCCTGCTGTTCCTTCCCCTGCTGGCGTTTCAGATGGCAGTCTTCTGCCAGGTAGTTTGTTTCTTTTAGAATATTAAACTATTATATGCATGCAGTACAATAAGATTTCAAGAGTGCCTTACTGTTGCAATATAATTATAAAACAAAAAACATATAACCTAACTGTTTTAAACCAGCTCATGAAGACAGTAAAATAGAATTCAATATGTATAAAATGTCCAATTATTTGTCCCATATACTATTGGATGACTAGATAATATTTCTTATTGTAGAGTGTTATTAGCTTCTTAGAAAGTATAAAAGCTTTTGAAGTTGTGCTAGTTTTCTAGAGGGACTTTGATTTGAATTTTTACCAGTAGCAAATGAAAACTGTTTTAATCCAATATTTCAGTAAACACTATGACATCAAGCAGTACAACAAGTGAGACCATCATTTGCACCATTTCTTTAGACGTAAATAATACAATATCGAATTAATCATTAAAACAGACGTGGAAATGTTGAGATTTTAAATCATTTCATTTTATCACAGATAAATTCTATGTGAGTGCATTTATATATCATTTTTATGTCAAATTGCATTATGAAATGTAATGGCTATGTGGTCCCTTTGAAGCACATACCTTCATAGCTGCAATGCAAACCAGACAATATTATCTTTGCTGGTCTCGTTTGGGCTATTTTTACTAGAAAGTTAGGACGTACACATGCGATGGTGCTTTTTCCTTTGCTTTTGAAATCTGTTCAAAGATGGATTAACAGTGTTTTTAGTGCAACAGGACATTCAGGGATCTTATCTATGTGGGATTTTGTAGTGGTAATGATTATTAACCAACTTGCTTTTGTTTTAGTTTCCGACACAGCCTTTGATTTTTTTGCTTAAAAACTGAATGTTACTCCGCTTTTGCTCTGCATCCATCTTTGCCTGCATTATAATTGAAGATTTAAGGTCTATCGGTAGTAAGCAATGTAACATTTTCATTTCAGTGGTGGCCCCTACAGGGAAAACTGGTGAACTATCATTCGGCTTAGACAAAATTGTGGGGATAGTAGTGGGCGGAGTGGCTTTTGTGTTAGTCGTGATCATCACTGGCATATGTATTCATAAGCACTCAGCAAACAAACGGCAGGCGAACCCAGGTAAAGAGATTTGTAATGAGATTAAAAAAACATACAACTATTTTATTTTATCATTGGTAAATTAAGAATTTTCATTTATTATCACAATAATTATTCCAGTTGTAGATTACCAAGCTTGCACTTTTGCTTTTGAATCTTTTTTATTTCCCAAGTAGAATTCTATACCTCTGATTGGTCAGTTACAATGTTCCATTATGTGAAGTATGCATCAGTTTTACCGACAATTAGAAAATAATAAAAAAAAAAACATCTCCAATAACATAAACTCTTCTCCATACCGGGGTGGACACTCGGCACATTTAGATTACAAAAGAAAAATATATTCCTTCTAGAGTGTTCTCTATCTGTTTAAAAGTAAATTCGGTAAGTGACAGTTGTAGTATAAAACAATTATACAATTCAAGGAATACTTTTGAGGGGAAACGCTAATTTATCTCTTTTTACTACTAAGTACAATGTGAACAATCATAAACTTTATATACCCGTCATGGAAAAACGTTTACAAATGTCTGTTACTTTGTACAGGGACACAATTTCTTTAATTTTGTATATATTTTGCATTGTGTTAATAGGTGTGTAGATGAAAAGGATATAATTACGTTATTAAATCCCACTTTCTTTCAAAAACTGTAGACAAAGAGAATGCAGTTGCTGTACCTGCCGAAAACCAGTACAGCGAGACGCAAATGAATGACATCAAGTATCAGGTGAGAAAAACGCGTGTTTACGAGAGAGAGAGAGAGGGAGAGAGAGAGAAATCATATCGTAAAAATAAAGGATAGGGCGAGATGAAAAACAAACAAAAGGAGAAAGAAATAAAGAAAAAAGAAAAGATTAAAATAGGAAAATTAAAAATCTGTATAGATAAAATCAGATTGTGCGGAAAGGAAACAATGAGAAAAAAATCCAGAAAACTAAATAACTACAATCTAGATTAGAAAGCAACTGTGTTTTTGTTTTCCTTTTTTTCAGCAAGAACAAGAGGAAAATCAGAAAAAGAACGTAGAAGGCCTCAATTATGCTGACCTCGATCTAGGTCACGTAGCAAAAACACAGCCAGCAGGTGGGGGTGGCCGCAACAACCTCGTGTTTGATGAAGACTCCAGGACCGAGTACGCCGAAGTCAGGAAAGCGTGATCAGTCCTCTTTAAGTAAAAACTTAGAAGCTGTTTTTGACAGATATGTTTGTCAGCATGTGGTATGTGTTGTATCATACAGTAACTGAAGATAATGCGGTTCGGGTAAGGCCATGAAGTATTTAGAATAGTATTTAGTATTTAGGGACCGACAAATTCATCAATTGGGAATGATTCTAATGAGGCAGTCAACAAAGTCTGTATTTATTGACGCCAGTGATTCTTCGTTATCGCACTCAAATTATAATTTCTTACATACATACTGCTTTATTCTGATCCCTTTAAGTGAGACGTTAAGATTAGACTGTTGTATTTTTTTAATCTTAAGTATAGTCGGTTCGTGTGTGTAGTGTTATGTCTGTTGCTAGCCTACCGGTGACATTCCCATGGTAACCAGATAACCCTAGTGATATCACAGGCGTTGATCAATAACGGGTCGAGTATGGATGAAGTGCTTACTTTACGACCGCTTCACAACAAATGCATTGACACAGTTTTGGATTTTACGAGTATATATTTTATTTGAATTGATTGACAAAAATTTTGGAAGTCGACTGAATTCACTTTATGTTGAAAATACCGTAAACTCTTTTCATAATTTTATATCAAATTGCAAGGTGATTTCAGGGAATAACCTTTCTCTGGAACTTGATATGATTTGAATTAACCATCCCAACAAGAGATGGTCACAAACACACACACACACACTGGGACCTTTAGATTGGAGAGGGTCAGTATATTTTAAGGATATGAATTTAAGGAATTGAATTTTTCACGACCTCTTGAATATACATAAACTGGTTGCAATATTCTTTAGTATGAGTCTTACCCCCTCTCAAATATGAGAAGGAGCTGGAAGGAAATTTAATGTATTAATTTGTTCTGGAAAGGGAATGGGGAGGGGGTGTCTCATGCTTCAGAGAGCTGGTTATGACTGTTCAACAAGCGAATTTAGATGCCTTTGCAACATAAAACGCTGTTATAGACAATTTTACTCAGATATGACTAAGTTACATGGGAACATAGCTTTGCAGTGTCAACATCCTTATACGTTTTACCCCTTTATTGATGCAATAGAAATATTTGCTTATGTGTATCCGAGGTTCTGTTTGAATACTGAACAATGTCATAAACTCGTCGTTAGTCATCTCAAAATATCTCGAAAGCATTCCAAACATCAAGTTTCATCAAGTAACAACCCTCTGATATCGTATCTGAGGATATCAGTGGATTTTACCTTCAGGTTCATCTGAATGCATATCATATATAAACCTGGAATGATTTCGAGCGATATATATATATATATATATATATATATATATATATATATAAAAATATATATATATATATATATATATATATATATATATATATATATATATATATATTCCTACGGTATTTAAGGCACTGCTCCATTTATTTTATGAGTGTGTCGTGGGATCTGCCCACGTGTTGATAAGAACACTAACATTTTTTTCTAGACACTTATATATATATATATATATATATATATATATATATATATATATATATATATATATATAAACAATATTATCCTCCGCAAAGAACCAGGAAGACCCTTGTTCTAAATCAGCTGTTTTTAATAAGCTTAAGGTTATGACTCTACTCAACTGGTTGGAGACCCAGCATTATCATAGCAGTGATAGTAATTAAATTTCAGGTCATTTGTAATTGTTGTCTATATCATTCTGTGTGCACCCTTAGTTTAAGGGAAAGTGTCGTATTCTAGACAACAGACTAGTATAGAGAGTTGATGAGAGTCACAATCAGTATTTGGAAACACGGGGTGTATAATATCATGTAATTCATAAAGTAGATGATACATGTACAGCTCAGGGGCGGATCCAGGAATATCCGAAAGGGGGGCTCCGCGGATGCGAAGCCTACCCCCCCACTTGTCCCGTTGAAGGGCCCCAAAAAATTTGGTATTTTAAGAGGGGACTAAATTTCAAGAGGGGACCAGAAATGGGAGGGGGGGTCAGGACCCCCTGACCCCCCTCTAAGTCTGCCACTGCAGCTTATTTGCTAGAATTCCTAATACTGAGGGGAAATTAGGTGCATGTAATACGGAAACTTATTTTCAATTAATACACTGTGCTATGTTATCACTTTAAGTTAGTGCTTTTCCTTTCTCTTTCCATTAAATGAGAAGTATGACTAATTCTTGATGGATAGATAAAATGAAGTAGGTGACTCAATTTTCACCTTCATGTTCATGATAAATGTGGGCGTTTTGTCAGGTTTTCATGTTATATCTTTAGGTGTTTATTGATCATGTGATAATATAATATATAACAATATTGATATTTTTGATATGTAAATTTTTTCGAAATGATAAAGTACATTACATTCCGATGAAAGAAGAATGAGTTGATTTTTCTATTGTTGCTCTGCGTATTAATATAAATTGTAGTATAGAAAGCTTACAGAGGGATGCATAGTGAAACTGGTTATAGTGTATGAGTAAATAAATTGTTAATATGACTTCTAGCGTAATATGGGCAAATTATGCAGGGTCACAAAAGTCAAGACTTCTCAGTAGGGAATTGCCATTTTATTAAAGAAAAGGGAGAATGGACGGGGCAGTGCGTTCTAAATTTGCTCCCACATTCCACCCTACCCCCTTTTGACACAAGCGTGGTGGCGTTCTCAGCCCCCCCTCCCCGCGCCATTCTCCCTTCTGATACTATTGTTATAAACCAGCTGTTCATGTAGAGTCGCATGAAAACTATTTGCTGTTTTATTAGGTCGTTGCTGAAAAATCAAAGCCTACATTCAATTTGCTTGGTTGTTTGCCAAGAACGCCTTTATCGTGTGAGTAATTTTACTGATATTTACTTCCCGGTCGAAGGCTACAGAGGTGCTCGAAAGTTTTTAACTTAGGTATTATATATGTATTCTGTGCGGAGCTGACTGTCAACAGAATGGATTGGTATGCATTTTTTAAGTGCCAAGTAGGACCGGTGTGGATTATTTGTATTTTACGCAGGTGGGGTGGTATAGGGGTATGTGGGTGAGTCTTCTGCCCGCCCCGCCCCTCCTCCTCCCCCTCCTAGGGTTATTTTTTAGAATCCTAGGGTTATTTTTTAAAATAATTAATTCGCCTTAATTTAGTGTCATTAATATTCAGGATTTTAAGATTGTTTCAATTTTAATCACAGCCCAGCTGTGACTTATAAAATACATTAAAGAAACAATTTGATGTTGTTTTCTACCTGGCCGAATTTTCTATGCTAATTGTTTTTTGTATTGAATTGCTTAATGTCAAATAAACGTTATGTGATATAACGTGTGTGCGTTTCTCATATTGTCACAACTTATTGAAATACAGCAAAGCATAGCAAGGTTAACTTTATTTGCAGAAAGACATCCCCCATTTCTTTTTTTTTTTTGGTATAAATAGCCGTGTACGTCAAAATTAAGTCATTTTTTTCTGAAAGTAGGCCTACCTAGAAATATGAATTAGTTTATTTTTGTCAGTCTCCTTTATCACATCAAGATCATTATGTAGGGCCTACATAAATTAAGACTATAAATATTCTTTTTAAAAAGTGGACGTCTACAGTTGACAAAAACAAAACTTCAAAATTTATCATGAAGATTAAAATGGCGCCTCCTCATTGCCTTTTATCACAAGCAAACACCTGAGGTGATCTCAATGTATGACTCTCAGTATGTCATGTTACGTGTTTGATCAATGATACCACTAGGTCCACAGCTGCAGCTTTTATCAAACTGGGTCACCTTCCAAGAAGAACATATCGATATCATGTTGCTGCTCTGTATGTTTATATAAGGACACAGACATCAGTGTTGACCTAAATTCGATAACATAGTCACAAACATCAACGGTGACCTAGATTTGATAACATACGGGTGGTGGGTTATAACAGTATGCCATCCACACAACACAGGAATATTGATTTTTTCATCTAGAGTTAGTAGTCTGTAGCCATGTATTTTATTATTTCCGAAAACAAACCACTTCCTTTCTTCTCCCATAACAACGACAAAAACCTTCGCCTTAAAGGTGACCCCAGCTTTACCAGCAATATGATACATAATAAAGGCAGAATAGCATGTAGCACGCTTTAGGAAGAAAAATCGATAATTGTTTGAAGAAAAAAGAATTCTGCTCAGCTTACTGGAATAGGTACATTGTCAACTATTATGGGGGTTGACAAAGATCAAATTGTACGTTAAACCCCCAAAACTATGAGCACAAAACCATTGAACAGCTGCCAACATTTTCATTGAACATTCAAATGTGCGACTTGAAAACCGTTGAATGTCGTCTCAGGAGCTAAATTAACATTCAAATAAAATGAAGTCCTTGACGGACGATATTCAATGGCGGGAATAGAGAATGTGTGTTATATTGTTATGAGCAGCAGTTTTTATAGGCACTTGATTCTTTTTAAATTTCAGTAAGGTACATATTGCGCATTGCGCGTACAATAGTTAGTCCATATTTTTCGTTGAACATACCAGCTCAAGCATCTAGCATGTTTTCATATGTGGGGTATACGTGTGGTGTTATACTGCATGGATACCTTGACTTGAAATACATTTTGTCGTTGTCATTCTCAATTGAATTAAACTGATGAAATTATCACGCTTTTTTCAAACATCTACAGACTTGATTTCCTCCATATTAACAAAGGCAACTTTTCTAGCAGTTAGACTCCAACTCGCATATTATTATTATTATTATTATTATTATTATTATTATTATTATTATTATTTTTAAGAAGAATACTGGCGAATGTCATAAATGTAGACCACGGTGCCTTCTAGTGTGTTTGTCTCAACGCCTCAAACCCAGGCTTCTCTACCGCAGCCGATATCGGTGAAAATTTGTTCGACGATAGTTCAAAAAGGTCATAGAGTGTGGAATGTGACCTCGTGACTGTTATATTCATAAGGGGCACGCGACAAGTGACGAAGACGCGTTTTCATTGGTTGCTGAAGTGGATTAAGCCCCCAGTGTGTTTGAATGACCTGGGGAAACAAATACAGGTAGAGTGGGACTGTTGATAGTTTGATAATAATTTGTAACGGCAAATTGCTTATTTAACTCCGAGTTTTAAGTGAGTCGGTAATATTTGAAGTTGCAAACTTAAGTAAGTTGGCTGTCTGAAAGTTGCTTTACGTACCTATATAGATAACCTTTGGACTACACGTTTTTCTCGCCTTTCTGTTTACGATTGTTATGAGTTATAGAATGCGCAAAGCTCTAAGAAGTATTTTTCCCGATCGTTTCATGCAATTTTTGATATCACTTGTTAATAATGCCAATGTATCATTACGATCAGAAGGCTTGCATAAAAGGTAGATATATTTTATTGAAAAAAAAAATTAATTTACGAAGATACAAAAGGAAAATTTAAAGATAAAATATACAAATGAACAAATACAAAATAAATTTACAGACATAACTCTTTGGACGATGGGCGAAAAGCAGGTAGCTCTCTCCAACAGCGGTATGGTCATAAGATGTATAGAAGGAAAATGATAATGGAAAAAATGTTGAAGGGAAAAATGGGTAAGAGGTGAAAATTAAAACTATGAACTAAGTACAATTATTCGTAAAAAGTATTCTTACAAAAATTAAAATATAATATTGCTTAAAAATGGGTAAAGATGGGTAAATTATGCATGTGTAAAGGTGGGGGTTCACATGTCACATGTACAGTATATAGATATACAGACACTTACTGATCAAAAGAATTGTAAGCCGAAAAAATGTATAGTGAACAATCTACTAGTATCACGTAGAGCTGCATGTAATGTATCTAAAACTACATGAAAGTGTACTGATATCCCAAAGTGGACTCTACGCACTATCAAAATAAGAAAAATTATTTATAGATTAAGAACTAGCAAAAACGATCGTGAGAAAATATCACAGTAATATGAAGAGCGCAGATTTATGATACTATTTTTAGTAGCGTAAATATGCACTTGATAAAATGCAGATAACAGTAAATACTAAACTCACATCATTTGCATAGACACAAGTATAATCGTTGTCAAAATCCACCGATTCAAGTTATTAATATCAGTGAAAACATTCAATTTTCATATTCGATTTGTGATGCTTACCGTTATCCATGTGATTTATGTCCTACTTGTGGCGTATAAAACATAGTGTACGTGGTACAGAATCTATCAGTGTCTTATTTTGATGTTAACAATTCAGTGGACTTCGTGATTATGCAAATTGCTGGAATGAAAAGCAATGGCTATAGAAAAAACAACGTGTCCGTGATTCACCGTTTCTCGAAAAGGCTGCAGGTTCAGCCATCATGTAGATGCAAGTACTGGGACTGTGCAATGCCTTCGACGATATTTCCACAGCCCAATTCGATTAAAAAATGTCGAATATTTAGTTTAAAAAACCATAGAATCTACGGAGGCCATGAATCCATTCGATTGCATTCGCACTGCTATCTCCTGTTTCGACGGAAGCCGCACGAAAAGACTAGAGACCAAGAAGACGGCCTCAATCCGCCCCTTTCAAAAGGGTTATACGGGCATGGCAAATGTAATTTAGTAAAGACATCTTTTGCATCAAACCCTCTATTATAACAACTTTCCTACTTATTTAACTAACAGATCGCAATTAGGAAATAATAGTTAAATGTTTTGTCGAGTTTTTTAAACCAACATGCATCTAATGCCGTGTTTCAAAATGTTGACATTCCCATATTAAACGATCTCCCCGACCAGCTGGCTGTCAATATCACAGTACACGGCCTCAGCAGCTCTGTCTACGTCGACGTGAAGTTTCATCTCTTCATTAGCCATGTCTCTTAGACTGGTGACAAGATTGTCGAACGTCGGACGTTCTGTCGGTTCTTCCTCCCAACACAACATCATCATATTGTACCTAAACATGTAAGTATAATATCGCGTCATAGAGGGCCATCAATATCATTATTTTTCAGTTTCCATTTTCGGCAATCGGGTTTTAAAGAAACTTTCTAATACCGTATATCTAGTCAGACATATGTTCTGCCTCAGAAGAGAAATAAAGAGGGGAAATCGCACATATTTCATATATTCATGGGTTGAATTATATTTGCATAATATTATTAAAATAATTTATGTAGCACAAGCTAGTTCAGCAATAATGTCGCTTTAATTTAACCTACGGTACAAGGTATTAGGTGCATATTCATGCATATTCATACAGTTGTACAATACAAATCAACCGTTACTGTACTTACAATTCCTGTGTACAGTGTTGAGGTTTCTCCATTCTGTATCCTGACCTGATCTCACGTATAAGTTCTCGTCCAGACGTAATATCAGGATAGGGGGTAGCTCCTGTATACGTCACCATTTGTGGAAATAAAATGAATATTTCGTTAAGGCCAGAAGAATTTGCCAATAATGGAAGTTGGAGGGGGCATTCTATTTCCAAAAATAACAACGTTTTCTTTGATTAAGTTATTTATCCCCAAACTTAATGTAGTGCTTACTGCAACAAATAAAAAGAAGAATCTTCCAATAAAGATGAAATAATATGCACTTTAACCTTACTACATGTATGATTGAATAATCATATTCGAGCATGGAAAAATAATAATCAGAGATATCCACCCGCCCGTTTACAAACGTTTTATAATTGTTTCAAACAATACAAACAGTGACAAATATTTTTTGCATCATACCTAAAGTGACAATCTCCCAGAGAAGAACGCCAAACGACCACACATCACTCTTAGTGGTATAAACGCTGGCAGAAATGGATTCTGGCGCCATCCAGCGGATAGGGAGAGGGCTCTGGTGCGTAATAATAATGATTTAAAGATATTGATTTTCTTTTCTAAATTTTCAATCAAAATGTTAATAGATTAACATCTAAAGTTCATACGAATTCCAAAAGTTGTATGATAAACATTGGTGCGCACAATAAAAGAAAGAGGGTACTAGTACACAAAGTTGAGGCGGTTATTTTTATAGATTGACTGGAGGTTGGTGCTGCTTTCGTAAAACACTGTTTGAACGCATGTGTGATTCCATCACCATTTCATGCTGCATCATAACCTACCAAACATACGTACCGGGCCCATGATGCAAATTAATATTAATATGTGTTGGTTTCTAAAATATAAATTATTCCACTTGTACCGCATCCCTACCTCCATTCTGCTGAGATACTCCCTGCTGTCAATGACGTCACGAGCCAGACCGAAGTCGGACACCTTACACACCATGGTGTCACTGACCAGTATGTTCCTGGCGGCCAAGTCCCGGTGCAGGAACTGCGAGTGAGAAATGAAAAATGAAAGCGTGCAGCTATTTATACGTTGATATATAGATGGAAACCGTTTAAGAGTGAAATAATACCTGTTTACACACTTTATCCATTAACTATATTGTGCTAACACTTTCACTTAGTATATTGTACTTAATCTTATTCACATTACATCAACATTATATTACTTCACACATTATTGCACTGCCTATTCTGCAACTGCCATAGAGTTGACCAACCTTATATCTAGATATGTGAGCCATTCCTTTGGCAGAATCTAGAGCATATGACAATATATTCTGTGACGTCAGTTTACTACTTCCGCCATGCAGATTACTATAGGTGTTGTGACTGCGGCTTTTATGGAGATATGTCTTAAGGTTACCATTGCCAAGGTACTCTAACACAAGGAACGCACGGGCTGGAAAAGTTGGATACCTATAAACAACTGCATGTACGGTACACCCTCGTTATCCGCTTCGTTTTGAATCTCTAGTAGTCTTCTCATTTAACCATCGCGATATACAGTTAAATGATAATCATAAGAAGTTATTAAGGCCTTTAATAAGGCTATAAGGACAGCTGTTCAGTATATTTTTACCTGGTTAAAAGGCCTTTACCTGCTGATTTACAGAATCCCAACATGACAACCACATTTTCGTGCTGAGGCACTAACTGCATGGTATCTATTTCTCTGAAGAAGTCTCTTTTGTCAACTTCTGTGTACTGTTCTGAAATAAATGAGCACATCATGGACAATAGCTATTTCCAGGTGTGGAATAAGGTAGAAATAGATAAAAAATATCATAAAGGGACTGGACATTTGACTACCTAACTCATACTTAAAGATTTACTCAAAAACGTACCTTTCAACAGCTTTACAGCAACGGCAGCATTGGTGGTTTTTAAAATGGCTTTGAAAACCTCGCCAAAGTGACCATGTCCTATGTTCTGTAATAGTTCTATGTCGTTGAGATTGAGTTCTTGAGCTGATTCGTTTAAAGCAATATGTGTGTATCGCTGGTTCTGAAAATTAAAATAATTAAAGGATACTGCAACCTTTATGGCCATTCCAATCACATACTGATATATTATTTTTTAATACTACGTTGCAAGCGTTTACGTCAAAATGTATAAATACTTGCAGCATCTACTTTCATATCGAAAAGAGTTGTAGTAGACAGATTGTGTTCATTGCTGGCATTTTACCATAAGTGAAACAGAGATAATTAATAGATTTCATCAGTATCACACAGTTGTGTAATCATAAAACTTAAAACCTCAGTTAATATAAATACTGCCATTACCTCTTCTACCCTCTCAGGTACTTCGCACGTGTGGTAATCGTCTGTGTTGCCATTTCTAAATCGATTTATAAATCTTATAAAAGGCAACTTTAAAGCCTTTCCAGGACGTCGAACCTGTAAATGTGTCAAAAGAAACTCCAAGGCTTTAACTAGATTCAAATCATACTTTGTCTAAATGAATTGACTATATTGAAGAGACAAGAAAGTTTCAAACTATATTTGTTAGTCCAAATGGTAACTTTTGAACTTCTTAAATGATTTTGGTGATGCATATTCGAAAGTAAGTAGAGATTATTAACTAAGTAAAATAGGGATACATTCAACCCTATGTAATATTTCGGCCTGGCGGATAGGATAGTTACGCTAATCAATGGTATACATGTACACTGTATCAATCGAATGTGGGAAGCACTTTATTTGTAAGCGTTTATATGGACGTGACAGTGGCCCCACGTTCAAGTGGCATCTAGGGCAAAATGCCAATCCCTATCACCCCCTTTTTGCAATTGGGAATCGCAATAAATTTTAAATGCCTACCTGTGTCGAAAGTGTGGTGGTGTTTTTAACAAAATGCACATATTTATGCTAATTAATTAAAAAACAGTATTACTTACATCACGTCTTCGGCGTCTGCTTGTCGGAGTATTTTGCCTTGGCAGGTGAACCGCTAAAAACAAACGATACGTATTCATGTGATCTGTTTAATACCAGACGTAGTTTTAAGGAGTGTCATTTTGTACGATTAAGGGAAGGATGGTGATTTAATTTGATACATTATCTTCGATTTCTAAAAAAATAGCATCTATGGTCCCCTCTTGACATTAAAATTTTGAGTAGCTGAATCATAGTTCGAAGCCGTACCAAATGGCACCAATCGTCTTCAAAAATACCAAACATTTTCGGTGCCCTTCACCAGGTCCGGACCTCACGCCGGGGCTTTGGGGGTACGGTCGGTTTCGTATCTGCGACCTGTCATTCCCCAAAACCGGATCCCTTCAAATAACCCTGGATCCGCACCTGGATGTACACGTATATGCTGGACGCCGGTCATTTTTTTAGTGAGGTATGGGCGCATATGATTTAATATAAATGATCGGAATGATTTAACCCGCTTGATTTTATCAGATCAATTACTAAATATAGTAACACTAATTTCCTCAATTCATTTTTTCCCATTTTTCTGTGTACCTTTTTACACAACTTATTAAACGGGTTCATATCTTGTTTTCTTCACAAAAGACATGGATTATACAATAAGGTTTATATAAACAGATGAGAGGAGACTTAAATTAGATAAGAGACAAATAGGAAGCATACTTGTACCTCTATAGGCCACTTTCCTTCGGTTGTATACGATGACTACAATGATAAGAAATCCCAGGAAAAGAGCAGCAACCAACAGCAATATGGGCCAAAATGTAATATATCCAGAATTTTCTTGGCTTTTTGGAACTATTATGATCAACTTGGTTGGTTCTGGAATGCCTGTGGAATTAACTGCATAAAAAGGTTAAAATAAACAGATGAGAGGATATTTAAATAAGATAAGAGAAAAAATAAGAATAATGTCTGTACCTCTAGAGCATTTTCTCCTTCTGTTGGATACGATCTTTATAATGATAAGAAGTGCCAGGAAAAGAGCAACAACGCCCAGCAGTATGGACAAAAAAGAAATATATCCAGAGTTTTCTTGGCTTTTTGGAACTATTCTGATCAACTTGGTTGGTTCTGGAATGCCTGTGGAATTAACTGCATAAAAAGAAAAGATCGACAGAGTGAAAACCATTTTGTTATTGACAGATAGAAATCTATTTTCCTAACAATTCGGCGAGATAACAAAGGCATGACCTTCATATTCAATAACAACATCTTTATTTGTCTACTATCATATGAAAAGGTGGAAAACCTCGACTAGGTTGCTTATATCTGGATATTTAAAATGTAAGAGTGCATGAAGTAGCGAATCTCAACTTACTTGAATCATCACTTTGGCTAAAAAGGATAACTTCGCTTCGAATGTCTGATGATACACAATGATATCTTTTTCTTGAAAATTTAGTCACATAAATTTGGGCGAAAAAACTTTGGCATAGACTTGAGTTTAAGCTGTTGCATTTGAGGTCTTTGGCAAGGGTGACGTGGAACTGTTTCCCATTCCTGTACCACAATATGTCGTGGGCGGGATGTTCCCCGGGGTACAAGTAGCTTGTGACACACTCTAGGATAATACTTGTTGAAGTGGCGGCCCTCTCAGAAATGTGGACTGAGGTAGGGGGGACTGGAGAACGTAATTTATGAAATTTGACGCGTTGATTCTAAGAAAAACAAGGCTTGCACAAAATAATCACCAGCTAAAAAAACACGATACATGTATCAACCCCAACTCCGAGTTTCACGGGCATACAAATTGCACAAAAGACCAGGAGGTGTTTATTTGACGACACTAACGTCGCACGCCGTGGCAGTTACGTCACCTTGGGCCTACACGTGGTAATTATTTCAGTTCTTTTATTTAGAGTATCTTGGGTTATCATGATCAGCACGATAGGACCTACTAAAAATCACTATGAGAATTCGTCCCTTTTTTCGCACGATAAATTGTAGCTTCAAATGACATATTGACCACTGAGTTGTTAGTGACAGTTGAATTTGAACAGATCAGAATGAGGAATTGAACAGGTAAATTGTCTGTCTGAAAGTTGTTTTTACGTACCAATAACGTTTGACCCGCACGTTTGCACTCGGCTTTTTGTTTACATTGTTATAAGTTTTTCTACAGAAGAATGTGCAGAGCTTTGACACATCAAAGGAGTGTTTTTTTTTCGATCGTTCCATGCTATTTTTGACATAACTTGCTAATAATGCCAATGTATCAGTTGAATCAGAAGGCTTAATTTGCATAAGTTATAGATATTTTATTAAAAAAATTAACTTACAAAAATACAAAAGGAAAATTTAAAGATAAAATATACAAATGGACAAATACAAAACAAAAAAATACAGCAACAATTGTGAACTATGATACAGTGAGCGTCAAAGATCAAAATTCATAATAACAGAGACTTTGACAGGATCACAATAAATCAATTTGAATTTTTATAGTCTGTGCAGTCAGAATTTGCAAATAATCAATGAATTTATGGAATTTTAGTCACGTACAATGTCCAGTTATATGTCTTTGCATTTGAATCAAATAAAAAAAAAATACCTGTATACGATATCGTTAATAAAGACAATCAACAAAACTCAAAACTCAAAATGGCACTTATATCCAAAAAGAATTCCACTGAAATTGGAAGTCAGGTAAATTGCTCTCACCCGATGATCACCAATTGTTGAACTGAAAAAATCATACAGTAGTAATTTTCCAGAAGTCATTTGCACTTTTCGATAANTTAATATAACATAGTATATTCTCTCTTAAGTGTGAGAGTGGGAGTGACTGTAGTTTTCTTTTTTGTACTACATATATGCTGTATTTGTGAAGTATTGAATGAATATTTTGTTTTGAATGAATGATGTCCGGCTTCAATCGTCAGTAAATTGAGAAAGTGATACCTGGGGGAAATGTGTTCTATGGCGAACGTACACACCGAATTCTTATACGTCTGTTTTATATTCAAAAGAAAATTTAGTTGAAAGAAAGTTCAATAGCCATCAAAATGACTCATCCTTATGACAATGTTTTTTTCAATCTTTCTGTTTTTACAGTGAGTCATTACTGAAATTGAAAGTAAAAATAAAATAAAATAAAATAAAATAAAATAAAATGAAGGCCTTTCTACGAAAAAAGCTAGGTCTCTTTTCTTTTAAGAAACCTCTGCAGGTACTTCGTGGACTTCTTTCAACATAGCTGCATAAATATGTGCATTTTGTTGCTGTATCTTCTGCTATCTTCAAATGATGAGCAATATCTCTCCCCTACCCCCACTTTCTGACTGTAAGGTTCACACTTAATTAGTAACATTATTTTCTAAAAGTTGAGGCTCCAAATTTTGTTCATAAGTATGGGACTTTACTATGTTTACAAATCATTTACCAAATACCAATTTTGTTCTCAATTTTTAAACGATTTTGGTTTTAATTTACGAAAAAATCCATAAAATATCATCTCTTGTGACCTTTGGCCCATTATCAATGACCTTTGAGTTGTTGTCATGCATTAATGATATATGAAATTGATTGTCCCTTCTCTTACCCCTATAAGGATATATAATGCACTGGTAACTTTAACCATATTAACGAAGTAAACATTTTCTCTTCCCATCCCAACTTTCAAGAGGGCATATTTTGAGCGTTAGGTTTACACTCTTTTATTTAATTTTCTAAAATTAGACAGGTGAGGTTCCAAATATCTTTCATGAGCATAAAATTATACCTTGTTTACAAATCATTCACAAAATACCACTATCTTATTTAAACAATAATTAAAAAAAAAACTTTTTGGTTTTAATTTATGAAAAATCCCCATAAATGACCTCATATGACATTTCAACCCATTATCAATGACGCTTGACTAATTGTCATACATTCATGACTTTTGGAATTTATTGCCCCATTCCCTGCTTTCATAAGGATGTACAATTAATTGATGTACCTGTTATCATACAGATATAGTAAGCGTTTTCTCTCCCCTCCCCCCATGTGAAAAAGTCCTTGCTGCTGCGGGAGTGGGGTTATATAAGGTGTGACAGCACACAAAAAGCTACCAGTATGAGGTTTTTTGGACACTAGAGCTATAGGACCTACTAAAAATCACTATGAGAATTCGTCCCTTTTTTCGCACGATGACCGAAAATCAGGCGTCTAGCTCATGGGCTAATAGAGAATAAATTGTAGCTTGAAATGACATATTGACCACTGAGTTGCTAGTGACAGTTGAATTTGAACAGATCAGATGAGGAATTGAACAGGTAAATTAAAGTAAATTGGCTGTCTGAAAGTTGTTTTTACGTACCAATAACGTTTGACCCGCACGTTTGCACTCGGCTTTTTGTTAACATTGTCATAAGTTTTTCTACAGAAGAATGTGCAGAGCTTTGACACATCAAAGGAGTGTTTTTTTTTCGATCGTTCCATGCCATTTCTGATATCACTTGCTAATAATGCCAATGTATCAGTTGAATCAGAAGGCTTAATTTGCATAAGTTATAGATATTTTATTAAAAAAATTAATTTACAAAAATACAAAAGGAAAATTTAAGATAAAATATACAAATGGACAAATACAAAACAAAAAAATATAGCAACAATTGTGAACTATGATACAGTGAGCGTCAAAGATCAAAATTCATAATAACAGAGACTTTGACAGGATCACAATAAATCAATTTGAATTTTTATAGTCTGTGCAGTCAGACTTTGCAAATAATCAATGAATTTATGGAATTTTAGTCACGTACAATGTCCAGTTATATGTCTTTGCATTTGAATCAAATAAAAAAATTACCTGTATACGATATCGTTAATAAAGACAATCAACAAAACTCAAAACTCAAAACTCAAAAAGGCACTTATATCCAAAAAGAATTCCACTGAAATTGGAAGTCAGGTAAATTGCTCTCACCCGATGATCACCGATTGTTGAACTGAAAAAATCATACAGTAGTAATTTTCCAGAAGTCATTTGCACTTTTCGATAAAATACCCAGTAACTAGTCCGCAACTAGTATTTTTCACCAGGAATACACCGTGTTAGGCCCTTGAAAAGCCTTTCATCTATATTGACCAAGTCCACATAGTTCTGGGCCTTAGAGATCAGATCTTCCAACTGTTGGCACAACTCTTTGAACGAAGGGCGAAATGCCGGTGGCTCTCTCCAACAGCGGTACATGATGCGGTACCTGGTACAAAGTTAGATGAAGGGTAGTTTGGTACATTTAAATGTTTGTTAAAACAGACGAATGTGTGAAGAGAAAATAAGAATACACAGACCACAGAATTAAACGATGACAAATTAATTAGTTGAATTGAAACTTGTACAAACCAGTATATACAGTACTGAGGTAAATTGAATATTACGGTCGAAAAAAAAAAACGACTGAATTACGATCTACAAACCCGTTTTGAGTCACTCCGTCTCTTGTCGCTGCTCCTTTCTCTCCTTTAAGGTATTTATAGACACAGAGACAACACAAAAGTACAAAGTGTATGAGAGAGAGATAATTCTATTTCTTCTTTAAGAAATTTACAGACAGAGTGAACGCAAGAAGTACAAAGTGTACAGGGTATGAGAGAGAGAGAAAGAGAGAGAGAAAGATGGAGATGGGTACTTACACCTCATATGTGCAGTGTTTAGGTCTCATCATACGGTAACCATTCTCCAGTTGTTGTCGTAGTATCATACTGGATATGCCTGGGTAGGGAGTGCAGCCTGGGCAGGGAATTAGAATTTTTCTTTAGACGACAGTTACGTTCTACTCATGTGAATGCTTACATGTATTTTATCAATTTATTTTGAGGAGTGCTTGTTTGCAGTTCACCAATTACACTTTCTACTTCCTTATTATTGTTTTGAAAAAAAGAGTTAATAGCAAAGTGCATGTCTTCACGTTCATTCTAAAAACATTTAAGGCTTACAAAAGAGGATATATATACCCAAAGTCACTATCTCCCACATAAGAATACCAAAAGACCACACATCGCTGTGGGTGGTGTACACGCTGTCCTTGATTGATTCGAGCGCCATCCAGCGGAGAGGTAGGAAACCCTAATAAAACCATAGGGATTGTTGATAATTGCTTTTGTGTTGATTTTCATGGATCATGTCAGTCTTGTTAAATCGAGTTCAAAGGGTTGGCAGACAGAGATATGGCAAGATAATGCAGTAAACGGAGGGACTCTCTTAAAGAACCTTTGCACAGGTACTTGTATTTCAAGATGAAAACGATATACTCCAGGTGGTTAGTCAGTTAATTAAATCTGATGCATTAGCCTGTGTATTTGCAAAACTAAGAATGTTATATAGCTATAATTGTGTAGTCCAGTGCAACGTACCTGTGACCGGCTCTCGTATTCTCGAATCAGGCTGACATCTCGCGCCAAACCGAAGTCTGATATTTTACAAGTGAAATGTTCGTCCACGAGCACATTGCGGGTTGCCAGGTCTCGGTGGAGGTACTATAAAAATAATACATGGTTAAAATAAAGAAAGATCAGAATGTCACGACTAAATTTCATCAATTAACCGCGAGCTTATGTGTATGGAAAGTTTTTTTCTCAGTTTTAATTATGTCATTCAAATACATTATTCTCATTCAGCAAGTATAGCCATTCAACAAGTGTTGTAAGTAGCTGCATTTTTGTGCTAAAAACGTTTTACTAGTCCCCGTGCAAAATTACCGGTAGAACATTATATAAACTGTTACTTAATTTTATGTGTGAGCTTGAGTAGAAATGCTACTTCCCAGAAGACAATTTACTCTACCAAATGCCAACCTGAAAAATGTTACCCAAAAATATAATTCTCAATTTTATACGAAAAGTGGTTATTTACCCCCAGTTTCGCTATATGTGTCATCCCACAAGCTACCTCATAGGCAAATGTAAGGAGCTGTTGTGCTGTAAACTTGCTACAGCCGTATGTGTTGCTGTAGTAGGTGTTTCCCCGGCCATTCCGTAAAACACGCTGCAGGCTGCCCATTGTCTGGTACTCCATCACGATAAACAGAGGGTCTGGGAAAGATAAGAGAACGTTATTATTACAAAACCATAAAATACAGCTCTATAAAGCAGAACTTACAACTGAAAACGTGTGCGTGTGTGTGCTGTTTATCCGTTTTTAACATTGCTCAGAGTAAAAACTACCACAAATGGCACTACACAGTATTGGAGGTTAGTTTTTTTAATCAAATACCATAGAGAATTATCAGGTATACCTTCTTTGGAGGATGTAGCTATTAAAGGAACAATATTTTTGTGCGCCGGTACATTTTTCAGTGTCTCCATTTCTGTTTTGAAATCTTCTTTTTCTTTGGACATTGTATTTCCTAAAAAGACAATGAAAAACCACATAAGAAATCGGTGCATTAAATTTCTGTATGTATATTTCACATTAGATTTAAAAATAATCGACATGATGCATGCTTATCAAATACATGTACATTTATACTAGTCTGCCAGACACTACATTTCATATCAACTTTTAGTTGCAGTACGGTGTGTTTTTAGGTTTTTAAAACATGGAAAGTCAAGGCAGATTCAAGACTGAAAAAAAAAAAACGGTATCTTCTACACCAAAGCGTTCCATCTACCTTTCAAAATTTTAACGGCCACAGTTTTCACTTTTTCCTCGACCTCCGTGTAGCCTTTCCATACCTCTCCGAACTGACCCTCGCCCAGTTTGCAGGAACGATCGAACTGGAGCTCCTGGATTGAGATTTCCCCAGCGACTGTCTCCGACGAGGTGTTTTCAGTGCCTGCAGGGTTGCCGGCGTCATGTACCGGAGGTTCCAGCTGGGGCAAAATACGTAAACAGAATTACAAAAACAGTTGACTTTCATTTAGATACAGTGTATGGCCATTTTAAGAACCTAAGTTACCAGTTGGCAGTTGGCAGATTAAAGATAAATGACAATTTACTGTACACAGGGAAAGAATAGTTTATTCAATGTTCAGCGGTTATAGCACAATGGAACATGATGAAATACTAGTCCTTTGTACATTACACCTGTAAACTGCACGAGTTTATTATGATGTGTAGATTGACTGATTAGTGAAATATTAAATGGTTCACCCCCCGTAGTTCCTCGTCTTCTGGGTCCTGATCCAGTGATCTTCGCCTTTTCTTTCTTGCCTGGTAGTACTAAACATTCAAATATAGTGTTATTTTCGGGTTAATAAGTGATTCAACGGATTTAGAGGGTGGTAAGGGGGGTACTGACCCCCTGTCGGTTTCTAAAAATATATTCAACCAATATATCTTAAAATTATAATTTTGACTTACTAGTTCTAAACCGTATGAAATGGCACCGAGGCTTAACGTGCGCTTCTTTCGAGTTATTCACGTAACAGTATGTAGTATGTAGGCAACATGCGTAAAGTATTCGAGAATTCCTTAACATCAGACATGCCAAAAACACTTATACTTACATCACTTCTTCGGCTGTTTGTCCGAGCGTTTAACCTTGACAAATGCAATGCTTAATAAAACAAATAATATGTATGGTTATACGTGTGGACTACAGAGGATCAACTTTTAGGACTCATTTAAAATGGATGTTGATTAAATGTGACACTTAATCTAGTCTCCTGTAATTTCGTGGTGTGAAGTATGGGTGCATATGATTTAAAATTAAATTGATTGTAAACATATACTAGTTTGAGTTTATTCAATCAATTATTGAAAAATTATAATAACAATTTCCCAATTTGGATTTTTTAAAAAATTATCTTTCTACCTTTTTACACAGCTTATTAAAATGGCCCATATATTGGTTCAAAATGTGTTATATATCTGATATAGATACATTGTACGATTAGGTTAAAATGAGCCGATGAGAGGAGAGATAAATTTGATCAGAGAAAAATAAGAATAATGTCTGTACCTCTAGAGGCCTTTTTTCTTCGGTTGTATACGAAGATAAAAGTGATAAGAGGTCCAAGCAAAAGAGCGATAGCAAACAGCAATATGGACCAAAAATGAAAATATTCAGAGTTCACTTGGCTCCCTGGAACAATTCTGATCCATTTGGTTGGTTTTGGAATATCCGTCGAATTAACTGTTTGAAAATAAAAAGCCCGATAAAGTAAAAGCCATTTTGTTTTTACCAGACACGTATCTTACTAACAATTTGGTGAGTTGACAAAAGCATGACCTTTATATACAATAACAACATTTTTACTTCTATACTAGCATATGACAATGCGGAAAACCTCGACTAGGTAGTTTGCCCATTTCTGGATATTAAAATTGTTCAGTTTAAAACGCATGAAGTAGCGAATCTCAACTTACTTGATTCATCACTGTGGCTAGAAAGAAATACTTCACTTCGGATGTCTGATGATCCACACTGATAGTGTCTTTTATTTGAAAACTTTGTCACATTAATCTTGGCGGTAAAACTTTGGCATAGACTTGAGTTTAAGATGTTGCATTTGATGTCTTTGGCAAGGGTGACGTGGAACTGTTTCCCATCCCTGTACCACAATGTGTCGTGGGCGGGATGTTCCCCGGGGTACAAGTAGCTTGTGACACACTCTAAGGTTATATAGGTTGAAGTGGCGGCCTTCTGAGAAATGTGGACTGAGGTAGGAGGAACTGGAAAACGTAATTTATAAAATTTGGTGCGTTGATTGAAAGAAATGCAAACATTGAACAAAAATAACGACCTACGTGTTTTCATCAGAACTTATTATTGTATTCGGTCTAGGCTAAGCATGTTACAAATGCTTTATATATTTTATGACTAATATTGATTTATTTCTACAATATGTATATATAAACTGACAGTATCATTTGCATTTAAAATCATATATAATGTCAGAAATTTGCACACAGATATTTTTTATTATATACCATGTCTATAAACGTTAGAAAAAAAAAAAGCCATAATCAATTGTCTTAAAGTATCGTAATTTTTGTCATTTACTTATAACCCGAACAGTCTGATATTCCTCTGAGGTGGTAGACCTGCCATGTATTATGGGTTTAAAAGAACATGTGTAGTTGCCCCCGTCCCAGTAGCTGGCATTAGATATTTGTATCCGACAACGATATGACATAAACGTAGGTAATGCCACCGTGACTGAAATGTTTCTGTCAATGAAATCATTAAAACGTTTTGTTATGTTCACTCCACCTAACCGTAACATGTAGATAGACTGTATATTTGTACTGTCCAGTGGGTTAACTTTCTTCCAAGTGACAGTAAACCCAGCGAAAGGCGGCATAGAGAAATTGCACCAAATTGAAAACGAATCGCCTTCGTCTATCGTTTGCAAAGAAGGTGCATTTTCTGGCATTAATACTGAAATGAAAATAATATGATGAAATGACAGTTCATGGTGATAAGACGATATGCTTCTAACACCCCCCAACCCGACATGTGTATAAACACGCCACTACTCTCACGCATATATATACTCGTAAACTCACAAAAACGACCATACTTTTCAGCACACTGAAAACATGCGAATTATAGGGTGCATTCCCAGAGATTTAGATCGATCCAGAGATTTAGATTTAGATCGACCTAACTCCCTGGATTCACGCTAAATTGCAGTCAGCCGAGCGCGCACCATAGTTAATTACCCCCTTACAGCTTTTAGTAGGCGGGACAGACGCTTAAGCCGGCTAAGCTGACAGTAATCTAGTGAGACTCCCCACAGGGATAGGTCGATCTAAAAATCTATGGGAATGGGGTCATAGACGTTTGAATTATTATATATACAAATCAATATATACCTACCTTCCACAATCCCACAGCAAGGGGCTATCAACATGATAACCTCTAAAATTAATATGATAGTTCTCCTTTGGAACGCCATCATAGCGTGCCGCACATTTAACTTGATGTTACTATTTAAAAAAAAAATGATGAAAATACTGTGATACTGTTGTGAATTTGCTTACGCCATCCATGTGCTATTTATAAATAACCTGTTTTAATAGGAGCGACAAGTGACCGCACTCTTCAAAACACATGGATTACCTACCCTAGTGAAGTTTTCGTTGACTCATACTTTCACTTATAATTGGTAAGGCTGTTTAGTCTGCTCTGGTGAATGAAGCTTTCAAATATTATTATATTTGGCTCCAGCGGAGTTTTCCTATTTCGATCAGGCCCACCCAACTACCAGACTCGGCACATAAGGATCCTGAATTAACCGGTATATCGGACCACACTACCCGTTTTTTAAGGTGTGTGTCAGATCGCATTTTGGAGTATCACACCCCAGAACAAATTTTGTTGGACGACCGCGGGCTCATCCACGCTCGGGTGTCACCTTGATTGGATAGCAAACGATTGTCGTAAATCGCTATATGATTTTAAAACCGGGTGCATAAATTTGAAAACCACCTAGAACAACCGTAGACTGTACGTTTACTTTAGAGTACTCTATTTTATTGTCTCTATGGGGGTATATGGGGACTTTACGACATTCGGTTTTAATGCTTTAACCACTTTTGATAGGGCTTTTTTTGCATTGTATTAGATTAATGTGGCAGTCTACGGTTGTTCTAGGTGGTTTTCAAATTTATGCACCCGGTTTTAAAATCATTTAGCGATTTTACGACAATCGTTTACTATCCAATCAAGGTGACAGCCAAGCGTGGGCTCATCCTGTCGGTGTTCTGACTGATACTCCGAAATGCGATCTGACACACACCTTGAAAACGGGTAGTTTGGTCCGATATACCGGTTAATTCAGGATCCGTATGTGCCGAGTCTGGTAGTACGGTAGGCCTGTATTTAAAGTCCGTCATTTATATACGAATACATGTATATGAATGTCATTGATGAATATTTTGTAATGCATTAACTTTGAAATGAATGATCTAATATATATATATATATATATATATATATATATATATATATATATATATATATATATATATAGATAGATAGATAGATAGATAGATAGATAAATCGTCAGTAAATTGAGAAAGTGCTACCTGTGGGAAAATGCGTTCTATGGCGAACTAACACACCGAATTATTATACACCTGTTTCATATTCAAAAGAAATCTGTAAACATGTATTTGAAAGAAAGTTGAATAGCCAACAAAATGACTCATACTTATGATAACTTTCTTACAATCGTTCTGTTTTTACAGTGAGTCATTACTGAAGTTGAAAGTAAAATGAAAATGTCTAGGTCTGTCTACGAAAAGAGATTTCTTTTCTTTTTAAAAACCTCCCCAGGTGCTTCGTGGAGTTCTTTCAACCAAGCTGCATAAATATGTGCACTTTGTTTCTGTATTTTCTGCTATCCTCAAATGACGAGCAATTTCGCTCCTCAACCCCCCCTTTCAAAGAGGACATATTTTGACTGTTAGGTTTACACTACTAGTTACATTATTTCCTAAAACAAAACAGTTGAGGCTCCTAATTTTGTTCATAAGTATGAAATAATTCCATGTTTACAAATCGTTCACCAAATACCAAATTCGTTCTTAATTTTAAAAAATATTTTGGTTTTAATTTTTAAAATTTCCATAAAATTTGACCCCTTTTGAATTTTGAAACATTATCAATGACCCATGACTTATTGTCATGTGCAAATGATTTATGAAATAAAATGTCCCTTTCTTATCCCCATAAGGTATTTATGTCTCCTTGATCTAAGTTAATTTGAATATAACAACTTGCTGATAAAGTAATGTGACAAACTCAAATATGATGT